ATTAAATGGAAATACTGGAGATAGACATCAGGACACCTTGTCGACACCTATTTATTGAATATTCACACATACAGAAAACACAGAGGCTCATATTATACTTCAAATCATCTGTAATAATAGCAGTAATATGGTAATGATAGACGTATAATTATAACAATCATAGTAATCATACTGTGTTAAAATGATAGGAATAACAATGTTCATCTTATATTCATAAAATTCTCCATAGAGATGTAACAGGTTCACTGTAAATAATATTATCGATGACATTCCACCTCGGATCAAAAAGGGCAAAAAGAATCACTTTGTTAAAATGAGGTTATAATGCAGCTAACACTCATTCACACACACGCACACACACACACGTATGTACATTTAGAGATTGAACACTCAGTGTCGCCCAGCGACTGTGTGTAAGTTATCAATATTTCTGAAAAGTTTAGTCTTAAATCATCCCCGGGTCTATTTTAGCATCTTTAAAGTGTATTTTTTGGCTTGTTTAGAAATAATAAATGTTACAATCACACACCTTTGAATGTCAGCGCCCCCTTGTGTTCGCTTCAGAAACACACACTCAGGTCATTTTTCAATCACAGAAGTTCACAAATTCACACAGAATATTTTGTCTTTATGTTGAAAATGAACAGAACCGTGTGTCACATTGAAAATCCCTTTGAATTAACGCCACCGAGTTCATTAATGCTGGATTGTGAGGTTGCATAACGCTCTGATAATGGCTGCACTTGTCTGTGTGAGAAGAATCTGCTCGGTGACCCACTGCTGAATGGGCTCTTTTTCAGTTTTGTAATTATGGCCGAACAAAAGCGGCTCACCTTGAAAAAAAAGCCAGTCACATGTTGCATAAATCAAACCTCGCAGCCGTGCAACTGGCTGAACGCTGCAGCAGCCTGATTTAGTTTGTCACTGTCAGTCCACATGCACATACAGGAAAATAGAAGCCATTTTAGTAGAGTTATATGATTTACAATCACTGTAATCCCAGAAGGGGAGGAGGAGGAGGAGGAGGAGGGAAAAAAGCAATATGAGACCTGATATTCCCTTTAATACTGTGGTTATTATATCCATAGCAAACGTGGTTAATGTTGAATTTTGCCCTTTTACGATAGAAAAAATACGTAGCAGCAGGTGAAGTCAGGCATCACAGATGTTACAGTCGACTCTGCTGAAGCAATGAATCTAGTTGGTAGCAAAGTTTCATAAATTCTTTTCGGTACTAAAGAGGGGGGAAAAGGCACAACCCATGAAGCTCAAACATAGGATAGCACCTGAATGTGAATGCTAGACATGTATGCTGTAAGTCTCAGGGCTACGACGGAAACTTTTAGGGCAACTTGTCGAGGCAACAGTTTCCTCAAACGGACCTTTTCAAACACGTCGAGAAGTATTTCTTTAATAAGCATGGATGGCAGTGTCAGTCAGGCGGTCGACCTCTTTGCAATGCAGACATTAAAATGTTCCTCTCGGGACCAAATACACTCTGAACTCAAGCTAATGCAGTTTAACTTTATATTTAAGTGTTATAAGGTTGCAATGATCGTAGAGAAGCGTTGATTGAAGTTTGTGCTCATTTTGGAGGCTGCAGTTTGTGGTGCTGTTGAACTATTACAATAAACCTAGAGGTGTTTCTATTCAAAATAATATAAACGGGTGGAAATAAAGTCCTAATAAGCAAGTACCATCAGTACTCGGCAGCCATCTTGACACCTCCCCCAGGCTGCTATTTCAGACTGACAACATTAAAAAAAATAAAAATAGAGCTATATAACTGCAATTTCAATGGTCACCAGGTCATAAAATCTGCATTATATATCGAGTCATCAACCGAATTGATAAAACTCGGCTTGAAAAACCCTTTTATTACATTTAAATTTCTAGTTTGCACAGTTTCATGATGGTATGCTTTAATCAGTGCAACAACAAGGTTCAGCCGATACAAGACCAGTGTTGAGTCAGTATATTTTTTTTTAGGTGGCGAGTCTCTCCCTTATGCTAGCATCATCTTTGGTGGAAAAATATTAGCAACATCTGTCAGTTTAACACAATTCAGCAGCGCCGCAAACTGCAGCTTCTGTGACAAGCCGTGTTTTATCGTCACCAATTAGATTTGATTATTAAAGCTGCAGAAATCTGGAAAAAAATATAGTCAAGTTAAAGGTAAATATTCATCTTTATCTACCCAACTCTCTTTAGTGAAAGCCGCCACCACATCTTGCTCTTATTGCAGATTTAAGTTGGCATCCAGACTCTCTCCCCTACTGTGGGTCATAAAAAGCCCCATGATTGGATAAAATCTCCCATCGCCAGCTTTGGATTTTCTAAAGCCTGAAAATGGAGCTAAGAGGAGATGCAGAAGTCTAGTTTCTTCTCAGACCACTTGAATCACAATATGCTGAAATGCTTTTGCCAAATGATGCCAAAAACAGAAACCAAAAACGCTGCCTACTCCAGCTTTAACTACAAACAGAAAGTTATGAGCGCCGCCATAGAGCAGCATCACTGGGTCCAGTGTTAATAAACAGATAGATTTTTGGTTTGTGGGGAGGGGAGCTTGTTATCTGTGACTAAATCTAGTTTTAGGATGTGGAATATTTGAGTTTTTTCACTAATAAAGCTGTGTTTAATCAAGTTAAAATGTAGGAAGTGTGTTTGCAGGACTCTACTGTAACCTGGAGGCTCCAATCGGTGGCCATAAACTCTTGTATTACGCTGCATTCGTTTAAGCCAGCACCTAATAAACTTAGTGATTTTTACATGTAGCACCATAATAATGTCAATTTTTCGACAAAATATTTGCAAAAGAAACGACATTCGCACCATCCTCAGCTGTGCTTTGTGTTCATGAGGCACTCTCTCGAATGTCACTTTCAAGCTAAACATAGTAAACATTTGGTTCTCGTTGTACAAAAACAAAGAATCTCACGTCGCTGCCTGTTGAGGACGCTGTTGCCCAAACGCGATGCCCCAAAAGCGCCTCACCTCCATCTCCTGTTTGCTTTTTGTAGGAAATAAAACCCAAAAAAAGCCCCTTCAGCTCTAAAACAAACCACTTTTTTTTTGTTTTTTAAAGCGACAAAATCTTTCTTCCTCTCTGTAATAACTGTACATCATACTAAAAAGGAACAATGATGAATTCTCGTTGGAAAAAAAACAAAAAAAACTCTGAACATCAATAACTTATTTCGCTATACACCTCTTTGCAATAGATCATTTCAATAACAATATTACAAAACTACCAGTATTCAGTCACCTACGGTAAAAAAAGCCAGAAACTAAGCGAGCTGCTGTAGCACCTTATTCAAACATCTTCACAGTCATCACCTTTAAACTCCAACTCACTTTTCTATATGATACATTAAACCAAAATAAAAGAAAAAGGAAAAACTGCTTCCCTCCTGTTCTGAGAGCTGCACTGCAGAGAAAGGCTGCACCAAGGCTTCCAGTCGCATTTTTTAAACGCCGATGCTGTGTTTTTTTTTTTTGTTTGTTTTTGTTCTTTAAAATTACGGACGATACAGAAGGTTCACACGAGCTAAGCCACTAAGAAAAGCGTCTCATTTACACGGACGAAGGTTATGACAGTGACGCGGCTGAGAGTCGGACTATTGCTCCACCTTCGCTCACATTCACGTAAACAGACGTCATTCCCCCTTGAAAACATGATTTGGAAAAAGTCCTGTTTTTGAAGAATAAGATACTGGATGGAGTGACGGAGGGGGGGCTCCTTTTTATAACTCATCATTTACAAGGCTTTTATTTTGAAGGAGGAATTTGACATTTTGGGATTTTTTTTTATTTTGTGAAAAGACAAGACTGGAAACGAAGGTAACAAAACACACACAGCAGCTCCTCCAAAGCTCAGAAAATAATAAATCATGCTCGTTGTATCAAAACAACACATTCTTGTTGTGCTCATAAGTGTAATTTTGAGAACTTTTTCCCGTTTGTTTCCAGTCTTTATTCTCATGATTAGAATATAGAATATATAGACATTAGAGCGGCGGATGAGCTCCAAAATGTCAAATTATTCCTTCAAGCTCATATTCGTGTCCATCGGCTGGAAATTCAGCAGGATTTCCGTGTCTTCAACTAACC